GTGGGTGGATCACGAGGTCAGGAGATCGAGACTATCCTGGCTAACATGGTGAAACCCCGTCTCTACTAAAAATACAAAAAACTAAGCCGGGCGGTGGTGGCGGGCGCTGTAGTCTCAGCTACTGGGAGGCTAGGCGGGAGAATTGGCGTGAACCGGAGGCGGGAGCTGCAGTGAGCCGAGATACACACTAGCACTCCAGCCTGGGACCACAGCGAGACTCCGTCTCAAAAAAAAAAAAAAAAAAAAAAAGAAGGCTGAAGGTGCGGTGGCATCACGCCTTGGTAATCCTAGCACTTGGGAGGTCTTGAGGCTGGCCGGATCACCTGAGGTCAGAGTTTGACAACAAACAACACAAGGACAAACATATGAAACCCCGTCTCTAACATACAAAAAAAAAAAAAAGAAAAAGAAGAAAGAAAAATAGCTGGGCACGCGTGGCATGCACCCTGTAATCCCAGCCCTACTCTGAAGGCTGAGGCAGAAGAATCGCTTGAACCGGAAGATGGAGGATTGTCGTGAAGCCAAGATCATGCCCCACTGCACTCCAGCCTGGCAACAGAGCCAAAACTCCGTCTCCAAAAAAAAAAAAAAAAAAAAGAGAGAGACCAAACAGATCTTGCTAAGGGTGAAGATTGGGAGCCCTTTCTCTTCTTTCCTGCTGGCCCATGTGGCCGTGATCCTGGAAGTGGCAGCCATCCTACCCAGACTACAGACAAAAGCTCAGACAGGCAGCAGCATAAGTCAGGAAAACGCTTAAACGCTGCCCCCCCTGTCAGGTCCCTGTGGCCACTGCCCAGATCCCTGAAGCCCCTTTAGCTCTTGACTTCACCCGTTATATAAGAAAAATAAACCCTGCCAGGCGCTGGTGCTCCACGCGCTGTAAGCCCCAACACCCTTGGAGCGAGTGGGGAAGGAATGCTGAAGCAGGAAGCTTGAGACCGAGCCTGGCAACCATAGTGAAGACCCACCAAACCCTCCTACCAAAAAAAAAAAAAATAGCCCCCAGGCATGGAGGCCACATGGCCTGTAGTGCCCAGCTAACCTCCACAGCAGCCCCCCTGAGGTGCAGGAGGATCTCCCTTGAGGCCGGGGTGATGTGAAGTGGGTGCCTGAGCTGCAGTGAGGGCCCATGATAATGACTCCTTGCATTCCGCCTGCCCAACGAGATGAGGCAAGAACTGTCTCAAAAAAAATAAAGCCAGGTGCAGTGGCCCTCATGCCTGAGTCCGCAGCACCTTTGGAGCCCGAGGCGGGAAGGATCCAGCGTTGACGTCAGGAGTTTGAAAACAAGCGATGGCCCAACATGGTGGGAACCCATCTCCTACTAAAAAATACCAAAAATTAGCGTGTGCAGTGGGCCTTGGAATCCCACTGCTTGAACCCTGGGAAGGCGCGAAGGTTGGCAGGCGAGCTAGATTGTGCCACCTGCACTCCCAAGGTGGGTGACAGAGTGAGACCTCCATCCAAAAAAATAAATAAATAAATAAATAAAAGAAAACAAAATGAAAAATAGAATCCCTAGTGCCTTCATTCCTTTATCCCACCCCACAAACAAGGAGCCCTGCATCAATCGCGTCCTCACAGTGTGGTGGTGAAGTGAGAGGATATAGCAATGTCACTCTGCTTACAGCTTTCTGGTGCCCTGACACATAAAAAGCCATTTGATGAATGGCTGCCTGCTACCTGTCAGGCAAGTAAGCAGCAGCAGCCTGCCGGGCCACATCCTGGCGAGTCACAATTATTCTATTTACTACACAGCTGTTGGTAAGCCCACATGAAGCCTTTGAGGAATTAGGAAAAAAACCTCCCCCCACGTACTTCTGTCTGTTGGAAATTTGTCTACCATATGGAAAATTGGATTTTTTTCCCCATAGTATACCTGATTTTATTTGAGGCAAGACCACTTTCCTCTAAGGAAAAGCTAGTTAGTCTATCCATTCTGTGATGTGAACCCGCTCAGAGATGAAAAAAAAAAAAAGAGAGAGAGACCAAAGATCTTGCTAAGGGTGAAGAGTGGGGAGCCTTTCTCCTTCTTTCTGCCTGGCATGTGGCCGTGATGCCTGGAAGTGCAGCATCTACCCAGGACTACAGACAAAAGCTCAGACAGGCAGAGCAGAAAGCTAGGAAAACCCTGGGCCCCTGTCAGTGTCCCTGTGCCACTGCCCAGTCCTGAAGTCTTTAGCTCTTGACTTCACGTTATATAAGAAAAATAAACCCCTGCCAGGCGTGGTGGCTCACGCCTGTAACCCCAACACTTTGGGAGGCTGAGTGGGGAGGATTGCTTGAGCTCAGGAGTTTGAGACCAGCCTGGGCAACATAGTGAGACCACCAACTCTACCAAAAAAAAAAAAAATAGCCAGGCATGGAGGCACATGCCTGTAGTCCCAGCTACTCAGCAGGCTGAGGCAGGAGGATCTCTTGAGGCCGGGGTGATGTGAAGTGGGGGGGCCTGAGCTGCAGTGAGCTATGATATGACTCTGCATTCCAGCCTGGGCAAGAGAGCAAGACTGTCTCAAAAAATAAGCCAGGTGCAGTGGCTCATGCCTGTAGTCCCAGCACTTTGGGAGGCCGAGGCGGGAGGATCACTTGAGGTCAGGAGTTTGAAACAAGCATGGCCAACATGGTGGGAACCCATCTCTACTAAAAATACAAAAATTAGCTGGGTGTGGCAGTGGGCGCCTGTAATCCCACTTGCTTGAACCTGGGAGGCGGAGGTTGCAGCGAGCTGAGATTGTGCCACTGCACTCCAGGCTGGGTGACAGAGTGAGACTCCATCTCAAAAAATAAATAAATAAATAAATAAAAGAAAACAAAATGAAAAATAAATCCCTGTGCCTTCATTCCTTTATCCACACAAAGGAGCTGCAATAATCCGTCTCACAGTGTGGTGGTGAAGTGAGAGGATATAGATGTCACCGCTTAGCTTGGTGCCTGACACATAAAAAGCATTTGATGAATGGCTGCCTGCTACTGTCAGCAGTAGCAGCAGCAGCTGCGCCATCTGCATCACAATTATTTATTACTAAGCCTGTCATTAGCCCACATGAAGCCTTTGAGGGAATTAGAGAAAACTCCCCCACTACTTCTGTCTGTTGGAAATTTGTCCTACATATGGATTTTTTTCATAGTATACTGATTTTATTTGAGCAAGACACTTTCTTCTAGAAAAGCCTAGTTAGTCTACATTGTCTGTGATGTGAACCCCTCAGAGATGCCCTTGTGAACTGTTCAGCCATGCAACGGTGTATGGTGGCTGTGCCTGTCCTAACAAAGTGATATTTATGCTTCTTTTCTTTTCTTTTTGAGACAGAGTCTCACTCTGTTGCCCAGGCTGGAGTGCAGTGGTATGATCTTGGCTCACTGCAACCTCTGCCTCCTGGGTTCAAGCGATTCTCCTGCCTCAGCCTCCTAAGTGGATGGGATTACAAGTGCCCACCACCAAGCCTGGCTATTTATTGTATTTTTGTAGAAACGGGGTTTCTCCATGTTGGCCAGGCTTGTCTTGAACTCCTGGGCTCAAGTGAGCGCCTGCCTCGGCCTCCCAGAGTGCTGGGACTATAGGCGTGAGCCACTGTGCCTGGCCGGCAAAGTGACATTTAAAGATCTGTCTGTCCTGGGCCTCCCCAGGACCTGGAAGGCCTCTCCTGAGGCACAGGGAGGCTGCTGGGCTGGAGTTGGGGGTGGCCAGGTGCCCCTCTTTCCCAGGACCTTGGGGGCATTTCTGGGGCCCTAGGAAGAGTCCTCACCTCTTTTCCGTCAGGGCAGTGCGGCTGAAGTGTAGGACCAACTGGTGCAGGGGGTCTGGCTTCTTTTCTTCCACCTCTTCCTCTTCCTCCTCCTGCTCCCCAGCTTTCTGGGGGGAGAGCAGAGGCTTGGGGAGAGTGTTTCTAGAGTCCCTTTCTAGCACCTCCCCCATGTCCCTGTTGGTCTGGATTTTTTTTCCCTTTTCCCACATTCTGCGCCCTACTTTGGTACTACTCAAGCCAGGAGCTGGCATTTCTATACCCCTTGATGTGGAGCGCGACCCCTGGAGGTGTACCAAGAGTGGCCTCCACCCCTAACCCTATCCAGCTCGCCCCCTACTCCCCCAGGCGGGCCCCAGCTCACTGAAAGGTCATCTATCATGCGGTCCTCAAAACTGTGGTCTTCGGTCAGGATCCATGCAGCCTTGTAGCTCTCCAGGAACATGTTACATGCCCGGTGCCTGCAGGGGAGAGGTGTGACGTCACTGGGACGCGCTCTCCTCCATGCCTCCCGACCTCCCATGCGCCTGCAGCCCCCAGCCATCCCCAAGGCGCCATCACGTTGGCCCTCCATTTTCCAGACTCTCCAGCCACCCTTTCTCCGCGGCCCTTCACGCTCCCTTTGTCCCTGGGGGCCTTACGTGGGCAGGTTGTACAGGGGCGTCATACGGAAACAGGCCACGACTGCCCGCCGGCGCTGCTTGGACAAAAGCTTGTGCCACACGGCCTTCTTAGACTTGTAAGGGTGCTCGGTCTGGGGAGGGGATAGCGGGACAGTCACATCCCCAGATCCTGCCCCTCTCACTCCAAGCCCTGGATGAAACTGCTCAGCTGTGCCCAAGTCCATATTCAGGTACGACACACGGCAGAAGGAAAACCTTGTCTCCACCAACAGAGTCAGGGTCCTGACTCCGCCTCCAGACCTAAGTTTCCATCCTAGGCCTGGTTCCACAGAGCCAGGACCACGACCCAGGCCACGACCAATTCTACAACCCACCCAAGGCCCTGCCCATGAACTCAACGCTTCTCCTCTAGGCCCCACCCCTAGATCTAAAATTCTGCCCCTTCCCCGTCCCGCCCCCAGATGCAAGATTAAGCAGCAGACCCCTCCCCCGATCCATTCTAAGGCTCACCGTAAACTCCAGGATCCACCTCCTGCCCCGCCCCAAAACTTAATAGTCATCTCCAGACCCCACCCACATTCTTAAAGCCCCTCCCCCCTGCCAGGCTCCGCCCAGAGACCCAGCAGAAAGACCCCTCCGGCCCCACCCACCTGGTCCAGGTAGTAGAGCACGGCTGACACTTCCTGGACTCTGCGCACGATTTTCTCGGGGTCGTCGGCGTCCTCCTCACGACCTGGGACGCCCCGGTACAGGGCCATCTGCCAGCGCAGAGACGGGGAGCCTTCGACCTGAGAGGAGGAAGGAGGGGTCGCCGGTGTGAGGGACCCTCCGCACAGGGTCGGCCGGATGTCCTTTTTCCGTTTTTGGGAGCACTCAGTGGGTGAGTGCATGTTGAGGCCTTTCTTCTTCATCATTTTGTTTTGAGACGGAGCCTCGCCCCGTCACCCAGGCTGGAGGGCAGTGGTGCGATCTCGGCTCACTGCAACCTCTGCCTCCTGGGCTCCAGCGATTCTCCTGCCTCAGCCTCCCCAGCAGCCAGGACTACAGGCACCCACTACCACACCCGTCTAATTTTGTACTTTTAGTAGAGAGACGGGGTTTCACCGTGTTGGCCAGGCTGCTCTCGAACTCCTAACCTCAGGTGATCTGCCCGCTTTGACCTTCCAAAGTGTTGGTATTACAGGCGTGAGCCATTGTGCTGGGCCTAATTGTTGTATTTTTAGTAGAAACATGGTTTCGCCACGTTGGCCAGGCTGGTCTCAAACTCCTGACCTTTGAGGTCTTTCTTCGATGCCTGGTCTTTGGTAAATGCTCAAACCTTCGCTAATATTGTGGTTATTATTCTGAGTTGCTTCTTTTGCTTGCAGAGAAAGGAGGCATACCTTTCCCTGAAGGTGAAGGTTGTTGTTCAGAAATTCCCGGACCTCCTCATCTGTGTCTTTCTGGGGAGACAGGGCCAGGCTGGGTCACTCTGGAGGTCCTAGCCTCCTTCCTGACCCACAGCCCTTTCCTTCCAGGCCCAGTACCCCAGGAACTGAAGGGGTTTTTCTTGGGGCGGAGGGTCTGAAACAAAAGGATGCAGAGGTAGACAGGGGTCGGAAGGGGTCCTAGAGGGGCCAGAGGGTCACAGAGTCACCTTGAAGATACAGTAAGGATTCGAGGGGCCTCGTGGGGGTTTGGGAAGAGGCAGAGGGTGACAAGAGGATTTCATCAAAGGTCAAATACGGCCAAAGAGGGATGATTGGGGGTCAGAGTGGGGCAGGGAGTCTTTGAAGATCAGAAGGGGTCAGCAGAGGTCATGGGGGGTCAGATAGGTCAACCGAGTCATTGGTTACACAGGGGCCAAAGGGGGCATCAGCAGGGTGGGGGTTCACTTGGGTTCCAGGATGGGGAGCCCTCAAGGACCAAGGTGAGGGGTCCATGGGACCCTGGAGGGCTCTCTGGGGTCTTGGCAGGACTCAGCAGTCCTGGGAGGTGCTTGAGGTCCTGAGGGAAGTGGTGTCCTGGTGGTAGCAGGGTAGCAACTGGGTGGTCTTTAGGGGCCAGGAGTTAGTAGGTTGTCAGGTTGTTGGTGTGGTCCTGGGGGTAGGGCTACAGGGGTCTTGGGGCAGAATCCTGGGAGGGTTCTTTAGGGCCCCTGAAGCTGGAAAGGATCGGACAGGAGGGAGATTGTCCTTGTTGTCCCATACAAGGGGTAAGTGGGGTCCCGGGAGGCCGCCTCGACATCCCAGCGAGCTTAAGAGGTTCTAGGGCCCAGGTCCTTTGGTCTCCAGGACACCTGAGACCTCAGAAGTTTGGGTGCAGTCCTGGAGATGGGGCTCATGGATCCTGGGGAGTTACTCAGGGTCACAGGGGCTCCCTAAGGCCCTGAGAGTTCTCGGGGGCTTAACTGGGCATCAACAGGGCCCAGGGGGAGGCGTCAGCCGGGTCCTGAAGGAAAGGGATGGTGAGCCGAGGGCTCGGGGGAACCCAGACGTTCAGTCTTGGCGGGGAGGGAAGGAGGGGTCATGAGGGTCTCAATAGGTGCCAAGGGGCTTGAAGGGGCCTTGGTGGCGGGTTCAGAGGAGTCTCGGGGGCTCATCTTGTTGGGCGGGCTCTCAGGATCTCAGCAGGTGTGGCATGGTCCAGTGGTGGAGGCAGTGGGGTCCTGCAGTCCTCATGGGGGTCCCAGGGGTCCTAGAGCTTTGCTAGGTTTCAGTGGGGTTTCAGTGAGGGCCCTTAGGTCTGTGGTGCCCTGGCAATATCTTGAGTGGGGTCCTCAGGGCATCCCAGAGGGCCCAGTGAGTCCTCAGGGTCCTGGAAAAGAACTCAGTAGGGTCTGAAGAGAAGGCTCCCAGGGACCCGGGGGGTTCAGTGGGATCCTGGTTGTCCCCTAGGGTCCCAGGGGCTCAGTGGGTGCCGAGCGGGATCCTGGAAGTTTCCAAGGACGGGGCTGGGCAGGCACCAGGGCATAGCGGGTCTTGGCCAGCGTGATGAGGTCCTGGTCGGTGGGCGCGCACATGTTCAGGCCGATGGGCAGCATCTTCTTCAGCGTGGCCACGATCAGCGACGTCTGCACGGAGTACCGGTCCCCGCGGCGCTTCTTCTTGGTGCGTTCCTGGTCCGAGCCACCGGACTGTGGGGACACAGGGCTCAGCACCAGCCCAAGCCCCAATCCCAATCCCGCCCCAGCCTGCGGCCATCATCCACACCCCAGGCTCCAGTCTGGACAGCAGGCGCTCCCTCCCCAACGGCCAAGGACACCTCAATTCCACCCCAGCCTTGCTGACCCTACACCTCAGGCCTGCAGCCGTGACCGGAGACCCTCCAGACCCAAGCCCACAACCCAAATTCCCAGTTGCTTGTTTTTTAAACAAATGTATGTTTAGAGATGGTGTCTTGCCATGTTGCCCAGGCTGGACTTGAATTCCTGGGTTCAAGTGATCCTCCTGCCTCAGCCTCCCAAATAACTGGGACTACGGGCACACACCACCGTGCCTGCCTGGCTCCAATTTCTAACCCAGGCCCATCCAGATTTTCCCCAATTCGGGGCCTATCTCAACTTCTAGCAGTCATCTTCCAGAATCCCCTAGGAACCCCAGTACAACACCCCGTCCACAGCATGCACAACCCCACACTTCACATCCCAAGACCGAGTTCTCAAGAATGAAACAAAGATGCAGGCCCACAAAGAGTTCAAGAGACAAGAGAAGTTGCAAGAAAAAGACACTGAGAGACTGAAAAAGACAAGGAGACAGGAAGACCAAAGCTGCAAGACACATCCAGAAAGACCTGGAAGCAGAGACACGGGGCACAGAGTCCCACAGCCGTGTTCTGGAGCCTTGGGTGCAGACCCGGGGCCAGGGCCACCTCAGTCATGCCAACGAGAAGCCCCGATGACAAGCTTTGGGCAGAGCCACATCCACGCTGGCTGGCAACTTTGAGCATGACCCCTGTGCCAGGCACTGCTACAGGCTACACATGCAGCTTCTCCCTGAGTCCTCGCAGAGCCCTGGGGTGGGGGCCGCTGGCTGGATGCCCTCAGAGGCTCAAAAGGATGACCCTTGGCCAAGGTCACACAGCTGACTATCAAGACAGGATTCTAACCCTAGTCCATATAGTCCAGAGCCCAAGCCTTAAACCACTGCACAGTGAGGGTGCTGCCCCCTCCCCAACCATGCGCCGCGTGCCTCTCCCACCCCCATTACCCTCGACCTCAGCCCAAGATGCTTTGGTAAAAGCTGAGAGTTGCTCTTTTTTTCTTTTCTTTTTTTTTTCAGAACAAAAGTCCAAAAAAGAAAAAAAAGAAAGAAAGAAAAGAAAAGAGAAAAGAAAAGAAGTCAAATTGCCAAAAGCCGAGGGTTGGGATGGGAATGGATGGGGGTGGTGGGGAGGGAAGGGAACGGAAGGAGGATGGGTGGGGGCTGGGAGTGGAGGACAGGGGTGAGGAACAGAAGCAGGGGTTTTCTCGGGGGTGGGGGGGAGTGCAGAGGCTGGGGGAAGAGGGCATTAGCCAAGAGACATGCGGAAGGTCCCAGATGTGGGGCTGACCTGTGTATCTCCCGCCTGCTCCACCGGACCGCAGACAGAGACAAGAAGGGTTACCCCAGCCCCGCAGAGAAGCCCAGGCCCAACTCCAACTTGCCAGCACCCCACCTCCTCTGTCCCACCTGCCATGTATTCTCTAGCTGGGCATTTCCAGGCCTTGGCTTGGGGTAGGGGTCATTTTTGGGACCTGAGGAGGGCAGTTCTGAGAAGGATAGGGAGGAAAGCAGGAGATGGGGTAATGGGGAGAGGAAGAAAGAAATGGAAGAGGGGGAAAATGGGGAGGAGGAGGGTGATGGGAGGAGAGAGAGGCTTGGAGAAGAAGCAAATGGACAGGAGGGAGATGGGAGGAGGGAGAAGATCCAGGAGGAGGAAGGAGACAGGAATGAGTGAAGAGGGAGCTGGGGAGGAGGAGGGAGATGGGAGGAGGGAGAAGATCCAGGAGGAGGAAGGAGACGGGAATGAGTGAAGAGGGAGATGGGGAGGAGAAGGGAGATGGGAGGAGGGAGAAGATCCAGGAGGAGGAAGGAGATGGGAATGAGTGAAGAGGGAGATGGGGAGGAGGAGGGAGATGGGAGGAGGGAGAAGATCCAGGAGGAGGAAGGAGACAGGAATGAGTGAAGAGGGAGATGGGGAGGAGGAGGGAGATGGGAGGAGGGAGAAGATACAGCAGGAGGAAGGAGCTGGGGAACAAGGGAGAGAAGGTAACAGGGGCTGCTCTGAGGGCTGCAGGGAATGCGCCCAGGACAGGCTGGCTGGGTGAGGACAGGCCAGGTAGGAAACCCTAGAGGGTGCTCCCGCCCTCTCTGCCAAGTGCTCCTCCCAGAACCAAGCCCCCACCTTAGCCATTTTGCTCTTGTTGTCCGCAGTCAGGAAGGACATGTTGTTGATCTCGTTCTGGACCACGAAGTTCTGCTCCTCGCGCTTGAAGTTCTGGTGGGGGAAGCAGTGTTGGAGACCGGAGAGGTGAAGGCAGGCGCCTGTGGGCTGTGGCTCCTCTGGTGGTGGGGAGGGCAGTTGGGGTGGGCACTCACGTGGGACTTGGACCAGTAGATGAAGATCTCGCCCACCATCCTGAACAGCTCCTCCGCACTGGGATTCGGCTCTGTCAGCCACTGCGCCCTGAGGTCAGCGGAGGGGAGGTGAGGGAGGGGGTGGAGATCCCAGGGAAGGGGGCTGCCCAGAGAGAGATCTTGGAGGAGGAGATGGGGACCAGGAGACATCCAGTCAGAGGGATGGGGTTTCTAGGGTCTTCTGGCCATTCAGGTGAACATTTAATTCTTTTTTCTCTGGCTCAGCCTCCTGAGTAAGTGGGACTACAGGTGCCCGACACCATGCCCGGCTAATTTCTGTATTTTTAGTAGAGACAGGGTTTCACCATGTTGGCCAGGCTGGTCTCGAACTCCTGACCTCAGGTGATCCACCCCTCCTCGGTCTCCCAAAGTGCTGGGATTACAGGCGTGAGCCACCGTGCCCAACTGAACATTTAAAATGTTTTAATGATCCATTCTCTCTCTCTCTCTCTCTGAGACAGGGTCTCGATCTGTCAGGCTGGAGTACAGTGATGCGATCTCTGCTCACTGCAACCTCGACCTCCCAGGCTTAAGCGATCCTCCCATTTCAGCCTTCTTGAGTAGCTGGGACTACAGGTGCACGTCACCATGCCCATGCCTGGCTAATTTTTATTTTACTTTTTGTAGCAAGGGGGTCTCCCTAGGTTGCCCAGGCCAGTCTTGAACTCCTGGGCTCAAGAGATCCTCTTTCCCTGGCCTCTCAAAGTGCTGGGGTTACAGGTGTGGGCCACCTTGCCTGGCCTGACTATTCCTTTTTTTTTTTTTTTTTTTTTT